CTTAGAGTAAACCAGAATATCATCAATGAAAACAATGACAAACTGATCTAAGTATTCTCTGAATACTCTATTCATCAAGTCCATAAAGACAGCTGGAGCGTTCGTTAAACCGAAAGGCATAACACGAAACTCATAAGATCCGTACCTTGTGAGAAATGCTGTCTTTGGAACATCTTGTTCTCTGACTCGTAGCTGATGATAACCAAACCTCAAATCGATCTTTGAGAAGTAAGTAGCTCCCTTCAACTGATCAAACAGGTCATCAATTCTGGGCAACGGGTACTTGTTGCGAATAGTGACCTTGTTCAGTTCTCTGTAATCAATACAAAGACGAAGAGATCAATCCTTCTTCTTTACAAACAGTACTGGTGCTCCCCATGGTGAAGTACTCCTGCGAATAAATCCCTGGCTGAGCAGCTGCTGAATTTGATCTTTCAACTCTCGCATCTCCACTGGTGCCATTCTGTACGGCGCCTTAGCAATAGGCGTAGTGCCTGGAGCTAAATCAATGACGAAGTCTATCTCTCGACTCGGTGGCAAGCCTGGAATTTCCTGGAATACATCCTGGAATTCCTGTACTACCAGAATACTATCAAGAGATACCGCAGTCGCTTCCTGTGAGTCCTCCTCAAGAACGAATAAATAAGTGCTAGGCCCTCTATCAAGTTGTGGTACAACAAGAAGATACATCTCCTGTCCTGGTATAGAAAATACAATAGACTTTTCGTAACAGTTAACCTGAGCATGGTACTGAGATAACCAGTCCATCCCAAGTATAACATCATACGAATGCATATCTAACACTAACAAATTTGCAAGAAATCGAAGCCGGCCCATATCTATAAGGATATCACCGCTATACTCTCGTAAAGTTGCGCCAACTCCCAATGGTGTATAAATATTAAGAGGTTGGTCACATAACTGAGTCGTCATACCAGATAAGATAATAAAAGATCTAGACACAAAAGAATGTGATGCACCCGTGTCAAACAGTATACGAGCAGTTCTACCATGTATAGAAAACATACCCTCAATAGCCTGAGGAGCCTGCGCATTATGTGGCATGAAGTTATAAACTCTGCCATGATGCAACTGCTGTGGAGGTTGTCCCGGAGGAAATGGTGGTGCTGGAAGTGCCGGAAAATTCTGAACTTGCCCACGTGGCATCGGTGGGGCCGGTAGAGGTAATGGCTGGTTAGGTCTCGGCTGCCCATACTGTCCCTGCTTAGCTTTGGGACACATCTTGGCCGGATCCCCAATTTCTCTACAGTGATAACAACGTCCCGTAAAAGGACCTGCCTGCCTTCTCTGTTGATTTCCCGACCACAGTTCCTGTCCGGTCTGAGGTACCCCACCTTGTCTACCCTGATTAGGGACTCCATCCCTCTGCACATCTGGGTTTCCTTTGTTTTTCTTCCAAGGTTGATGTCCTTGAAATCTGCCCCGATCATTGGACTTGGTACCACTACTGCTTCCTTTCTCCACTGTCTGGTAGTCTCGGTTAGCCCGCTTATCTCCCTTGGACTTCCGGTAATCACTCCTCATCTGGCAGTGCTGTAAGGCGGCATTAACCACCTAGATATAAGTAGTATATGCAGGACTACCTATGATCACCACTTTAATCGGCCATATCAACCCTTTCACAAAGCGGTCTCTCTTCTTTTCTTCCGTATTGACCTCCTCTGGTGCAAATAATGACAAATTAATGAACTTCTGTTCATACTCAGCCACAGTCATATCCTCCTATTGCAGATCCAGAAATTCAGTCTTCATCGCTGATCTTACTGACATAGGAAAATACTTGTCGTCAAAGCGAGTCTGAAATTCAGCATAAGTCAATCTGGTCCTCTCTTCGACAGTAGTAATAGACTCCCACCACTGCAATGCATTGCCTATCAGCATAAACGTAGCCAGCATCTGTTTCTGCACTTCGATACAGATTACCATCCGAAGATGACGCTCGCTCTCCTGTTTCCACTGATATGCTAACAAGACATCTGTGGACCCTGCAAATGTCGGTGGATTCCCTCTGATAAACGAGTGACGAGTTTTGTCCCATGACATTGGTTGTGCCACTGGTTCAGGAACATGTACTATCGGAGGAGGTTGCTGGTTTCGTAGAGCAGATGCTACTCCTGCTGCCACAGCTCGTGCAATGATATCAGCAACTTGAGGGGAAAATTCCTGATTCTCATTTTGAGTTGGGGAAATACTGCGATGACGGTTCGCATTCCTTGTCCCACGCCGAGACATCCTTCTTTTGAATTAAAAAAAAAAAATCTAACGTCAGTACATTATAATGGACCGACTAAAAGAATACAAAGAACCCTAATACTTAGGCTCTAATTATCAGAATACACAACGCGGAAGTATGGTAATCACAACGCGGAAGACAGGAAAGGAAAACTAAATAATACAACATCCATCCATCCTTTATTTAAATACAGTACTCCATTACAACTTGGAAATCCTATGCCAAGGATCCCTAAATATAAACCTGAGAGTTCAACGTCAAAAGTTAATAAAACTGAAACTGAAGTAATACGTAAAACTTCTACCTTGAACTGGATCGTAAGAGTAGATGAGTTCGGATGGTGGTCCCTCACTGCTAACCTCAACCTTGGAACGGGTGCTGACCGTATCCTGAAATAACAACAATGGTGGGTCAACCCCACGAGCAAGTCCTCTCTACTATGACCCAAATCAGAGAATCAAATAAATTAATCATTTATATCCGGATGAGTACTATATCTGTATACATCCTAAGGGAACCATCCAATGTATAACATGACCTCAACCAGAATAGACGGTGATCACTTAGACTCACACTAGGTGGTTAAGTGTCGCCTTTCCCTACCCGGGAAATCAGCTATTATACATGGTGCACGATACTGACAACACAGACTATAACGAACTACACAGTGATAACACCTCTCAAAGTACTGATGAATATACTGAGCATACAAATTAGGCAACACATGCCAATAATATTAAACCACATACCCCGACAGCCACACATCTGTCTATAGCAACGAATGCATAAGGTATAAATGAGTCTAAACTTATTAGCCAGCTCACATGGTTCTATATGGCAACACATCCATATAATATAAATGCGACATAGTAAACAGTCCATTTATTCCCTGAAATGCACACAGCATAATAATCATGGTTGATATATGATTAACAGTATAAATATCCCATAATATAATGGATGATTTATATGACGATAACCATGACATTATTATAATTGAACAGTAATAATGAATACCATTTAATAACATAATAATACCATCTATAGTAATGTGGTCAAATGAGTCACATTCATATACGTACGGTAAACGGGCCAATTAAAGTTTAGAAATATTAATCGGCCATAATAATACTTAACGGGTATTAAAATAATAATTTCGTGGCCCGTTAAACCCTTAAATACCAACGCAGTACCTAAAAATCCAAGTTTAAGGTTCTGGAATTTACAAAACAGGCCTTAGGGGTATTCTGGTAATTTCCAGCAGCTGTAGAGACCCCACACGCGCCCTCACGCGCCTCCCAGAGCCTCCCCACGCGCAGCCCAACCTTCCCCACTCTCCCACGCGCGTCTGGCATCAGCCACGCGCGCGCACGCGCTCCCACGCGCGCGTTGATGGCTTCCTGCTGACGTGGCGTCCTCCGGTTGGTTGGCTGCATCAGCTTTCCTACATGCGCGCCACACAGGATCAATCCACCTACCTTCCCTCCATCCAACGCTCACGGATCCGGATGTACCGCGGTAACATGGACCGCGGTGCACCGGATCAATCGCTGCTGTTTAATGGTCCAGATGCGCGCGCATACCCTCCTATGGTGCGCCGCATCACACCGGATCACTCTGGTCATCTCCCCCATTGCCGGCGACCGGAAAACTCGCCGGAAGGTCGCCGGAAATTGCAGAAAAGCCCCGGAAAAATCTAGAAAATTCTAGAAAAATCCCTAAAGCTTTATTTAATTATTTCGGCCATTATTAATTTCATAGGATATTAAATAAATATATACCATCCTATATAAATAAAATTTCATTAATTTAATAAGATAAAATTTATAATTTATTAATCTACTAACCTTGGCTCTATGCATACAAATAAACTAAACAATTAATTTATTAATTCAAAGGGGAAAAGTAGATAATAACTTGCCTTTTTGGATTTAAAATAAATCCGCCGGTTGCGCGTAGTCGGGTAAATTTTTCCTACACCGGTCCAAGCTCCTTTCTTTCTCTCTCACCTTTCTTCTCTTTCTTTCCTCTAACAACAACTCTCTACTATTTTAAATTGGTTTCTAACTTACCTTCTCATCAAACTAACTAATATTTATACAAATTAAAATAATATAAATATTACAAATATCTAAATTTACATTAAACTCACCACATTCCCAACCATATGGCTTCAAGTCCTACCTATAAATATTAATGAAATCCTATCCTAATCTCTAATTTCATCATGACTTATGATTTAATACTATTATTATTATTATAACTATTATTATTATTATTAATAAATTATTATAATTAATATTATTATATTATTATTATTATTAATAACTATTATAATAATTATTATTATTACATAAGAATACATTATATCATCATAATACTTTATAACATAAATATAATACTTTAATTAACTAATAATGCTTAATTAAACATAATCAACAAATAAAATTATTAATAATAATACATGCACAATTAAATGAATAAATTTACTATTTTAACATATACAATTAATTTACATACACCATTAATGTAGCATGCACAATAATAGGTAAAGAAATCCACACATAAATGAATTTAAATAAACTAAACTCTTTAATAAAATACAACAGCAATATTTTGGCGCTTCATTTTTTGTTTGGCACTACAAAAATATAATATATAAAATAATTTTATTTTACAAAAAATACTGAAGAAGGGCATAAACTATGTCGTTTAATCATATATATCATTACATCCATATGCCTAGTCTTCAGTTCTGGACGCTCAAGCCCTAACGCCTCTTCCACCGTCTTCCATCCTCTTCCACCCTTTTCCATCGTTGTAGAAGACGGAGGCTCTTCCACCCTCTTCCACCGTCGCAGAAGACAGAGGTTCTTAATCAAACATTCTTTGGGCTTCAATCTTCACCGAATCACAAGATTTAATCTTCACCAAATCTGGAGTCGGCTTGTGGTCTGAGTCTGAATCGCTGTGGGAAATACAGGTTTGCAGAAGCGATTCTTTATTGTTTCAAAGAGAATATTGGGCTTGGAGGAGGCTATCAGAATCAGGAAGTACTATTGTGATGGAACTTTATAAACCCTTATATATTCTGTTTTGTGTTCCTTCAGTCTTTAATGTTATTTTGTTGACATCATGTATGATAATGTATCTATGTTTGTGGTTCTGATATCGTAATTGATTTTGATTTTTAGGGTTTTTGGTTTCTGTAAATCTTTGTGTTTTTGCTTGATCTGATGGTCGATGTAGTTTGGGATTACACGTTCTTCGTAGAGAATCTCGAGTTTGGGTATGACCGCTCACGTGATCCTATTATTTTTCCTATGAACCAACCAGTTTCGCACCGCCTCTTTGCCTTTCTAAACGTTCCAACTTGTCACGCCGGCCAACCGAACGAACAAGCCAAGGCTGACAACGTTCAACGGCGGCTACCGTTTGGTACGGTATTGGTCAGAAGATTCTTCTTTCTACCTCTTTGATTCATTTTTGTTCCATCTATTGAATATCTGTTATCTTTCTCTTTGAGATCACGACTGACTATAAACCACTTCTTACAAGGATATATTCTGTTTTAATCTAATTTTTCTTCCATTCATTTCTAAAATCTTTTTAATAGGTCAGAAGTGTATGAATTCATATACACACTTGTTTAATTAGGTTAATTATTCAACGTCTTTGTTAGTTACTTTTTTTTTCTTCCCTCTCTTTATATATTCATATTCCGCAAGAAAGTTCAATTTACATGATAAACTATTGTGATGTTGTTTGATGGTTCAGGATATTTAGTTTTTAGATCATATTCATGTGAATTATTTGATGCACATTTTGATCTTGTCAACGCAGAACATCCATATTTTCTTTTGTGGTGTATTTCATATTTTATAGTTACTGGTGAACCACACGCAGTGTGCAAATGGGCATACATAAGAGGTATACAACATTCAAAAGAAGATCAAACCCATTTTGATTTGTGAGATAACATATGCAAATTCTTGAAGCATACCAAAATTGTGAGTAAACAAAAATAAAAAAATACCCAAATTAATAATAATAAAGAAAATACAGAGAGAGAAATTAAACCTAGTAGTTCCATCAAAGAGGTCAGGTGGTTCGGTAGAAGTGGAGTTGAAAGGAGTGGGAAGAACCTCTACCATTGCTAGTGTTCTTATGAGATTTGAATAGATGGTTGGTTTTGATTCACTTTATTATTGAGAGTGCATTCTTGAATTGTATTTGGAATTTGTCTTGCTATGTTTCCAGTCCAATTGTAATAAATGATATGATTATTGCGAGCACTTAGTTGAGTCTTTCAAGTTGCACTGAGTATTTTCCTGATCCATTTTGTTATCTTCTATTTATGAATTGCAAAGGTTTTTTAAGCAGCACAAGGAAGTCGAGCTCTCTACTCTGGGAACAAGTATGCCAATAATTTAATATGCATCACTATCATGGTTATGGTTGTTGTTATATATATATATATATATATATATAAGTTCTTTTTGTGTTAGCATTTATTTCGTGGCTTTGTATTCATTTATATTTAACTTAAATTATGATGATAGGTATTTGGATATAAATAGATCACGACCTTATGTTTTGTCCAGCCTTATTGGTTTTATAGTTTCTTTAAGGAGTTTTTAGTGGTTTTTGCAATATTTAAAAGCATAAATGATGGACTGAATATAAGGTGTTGGAATTTGTTTGGAAATACAATAATCCGATGTTCATGTTCTACATAAATAAAAGGTGCAATTTTGAATTCAAATTTTTTTTCCTTGTTTTTTTTTATTTATGCAAATATAGGTTGTTTGATTTGTAAAAACTCTCTCTCTCTCTTTGAAGTTCATTACATCAAATGCTGTTTGTTACGTTTTTTAATTAGTTACGAAAAATATTAAGAAAATGTTATACAATTATGTTCCCCTATTTCTGTGGATTTCTTCATAATGCCAAATTGGGAATTAGAAAGATGATCAAAGGTATAATCTATCAGCAGCTAATGCAGTAAATAGTACAAATTCATGCACTAAATTATTCTCATTACAAACTCACCCAATAATTTTCTTTAACTACCAGCCCATTATTATTATTAATTTTATTTTTATAACTATCAACCAATACAATATAATTTATATATAGATCCTTTATTAACAATGCAATTTTTTTATTATAATAATTGTTTAAATCAAGTATTGCTGGTCCAGTCAAATTAATGTAGCATCTATAAACTTGACTTACAGGTTGACCTCATAATTTTATGCACATTGTTTGTTGCCTACCCATAATTGAATCAATCAACACACCAAGTCTTCATCTCCTTCCAACGAAACGTCCTATTCTTATCATTATTCAATTTCTGCTGTGCATAAAAATGCAATTTTTTTTATTTTTTTATTTTTTTTATTTTTTTGTTTAAGCATTTACATGGATAAGTCTTGGATTCATCATCACACTAGGGGTAGTGTAAAGTATTTTGATGGCATACATGACTTCATTGATGTGGCTAGAAGTCATGCAGAAGTAGACGGTAGGTCCCATGTCCATGTCGTCATTGCAAAAATAGGACTTATCGTCAAATTGAAGAAGTTAAGCAGCATCTCTTGAGTAATGGGATGGATAAGGGGTATACCAATTGGATATATCACTGGGAGGCTCGTCAAAGCAACAATAATGTTAATATTGATGCTAATGTCAGTAGGGAAAATGTCCACAATGAAGATGGAAATGTAAATAATGTGTTTGAATTGTTGGATAACATACAAATGGGAAACTTCACTAATGCACAACAAGAAGAAGATTCACCTGAAGTTGATGTTGAAGGAGGAAGCTTTGATAGATTGTTGAATGATGCACAATGTGAATTGTGGCCAGGTTGTGAAAAATACTCTAAGTTGTCTGCGATATTAAAGTTGTTCCATGTGAAGGTTACAAGCTGAATGAGCAACAAATCATTTGACATGATGCTTGATGCATTTAAGGATATGCTTCCCAATAACAATGTGTTACCAAAGTCTCATTACGAGACTAAAAGCTTGTTATGAGACTTGGGTCTCGGATATGATTGTATACATGCATGTAAACATGATTGTGTTCTATTTTGGAAGGAGAATGCAAGTAAAGAAAATTGTCCATAATGCGGTGAATCAAGGTATAAACCTCACGAAGGTAAGGGTAAGAAAATCCCTCAAAAGGTTCTCCAGCACTTCCCTTTGAAATCAAGACTTCAACGATTGTTTATGTTAAAGGATATAGCCTTAGACATGCGGTGGCATAAGGAGAAACATGTGAAGGATACAAATGAGTTAAGATATCCAGCTGATTTAAAAGCTTGGGAGGATTTTGATAGTAAGCATAGTTGGTTTGCTGCTAATCCTTACAATGTTTGTGTTGGATTTGTAACTGATGGATTCAATCCATTTGGTAACATGAGTAATGTGTATAGTATGTGGCCTGTGATGATTGTGCCTTACAAATTGCCACCTTGGATATGTATGAAGGAGCCATATATATTTATGTCGTTGCTTATTCCTGGTCCAACATCGCCTGGTAATGGTATTGATGTGTACATGCAACCTTTGGTTGAAGAGTTAAAAGAATTGTGGCGGGATGGTGTGATGACGTATGACGGCTACAGTAAATGTAACTTTAAAATGCATACGGCAATGATTTGGACCATTAGTGATTTTCTCGCCTATGCGATGGTATTTGGATGGATGACAAAGGGTTATCTAGCATGTCCAAATTGTAACAAAGAAACATGTTCTTATTTTTTGAAACACGGACGTACAATATGCTACTTAGGAAGTTGTATGTTTTTATCGTTAGATCACATTTTTAGAAAACATCACAAGTAATTTACTGGCAAAAGTGAAGACAAAGGGCCACCAAAGTAGTTGACAGGTGATGATATTCTGGAACAACTTAACCTCATACCCGAGGTTTTTGGAAAGGGGTCAAATAGAAAGAAGCAAACTCGTGAGGAATTTGAACTTAACTGGACGAAGAAGAGTATTTTCTTTGAACTATTTTATTGACAGACCCTTTTGTTGCGGCACAACCTGGATGTTATGCATATAGAGAAAAATATATGCGATAGTGTGTTGGGGACATTATTGGACATTGAAGGGAAAACTAAGGACACATTCAAAAGTCGGTTGGATTTAGAAGCAATGGGGATTAGAAAAAAACTCCACCTGAGGCGTAATGGTGAAAAAATTAAGATGCCACAAGTGCGCTACACATTGTCAAAGAATAATAAAAGACAACTATATGAATGGCTAAAATCGGTTAAGTTTCTAGATGGCTATGCATCGAACATAAGTCGGTGTGTGAATGTTAATAATTGTAAGATATCTGGATTGAAAAGTCATGATTCACACGTTCTCTTACAACGTCTCCTCCCTATTGCTATACGAGGATTCTTAAATTCAGAGATTTGTAACACAATAGCTGAGCTTGGTTTATTCTTCAAGGAATTGTGTTGTCGAACCATTAAAGTGGATGTCTTAAAGGCAATGGAAAGGGACATTGCTGTCAAAGCTCCCTACAGTTGATAGCAAGTGTATAAGTACTAGTAGATTGGGTGCCTTGTGTTGCTTCTGCTCAGAGCTACATGAAACGCACTCTCATCTGTTCTTCAAGTGTGAATTTGTCACACCTTTATGGAGATTTGTTCAAGACAAATGTTGTTTTTACACTCAAAGTAACAGTTGGAGTCAATTTATCAATTAGGCATGCCACCATTAGAGTCAAAATACCATTGCACATGGGCTGTGTAGGCTTGCGTTAGCTGTTTTTGTTTACTATATATGGCAGGAGCAGAATAATAGACTCTACCGAAGCTCGCCATCAACGCAGTCAAGGGTCATGAGGCAGATCACTTCTTCCATTGCAGAATCACTTAAAGCTTCGAAGAACCCCTCCTTCTCTGCCCTAGCTACTAAATGGGCCTTTTATCCAGTGGCTAATCGGCCACCACCAATGCCTCCAGACTAATTAGAGAGATGAAGGATGGAAGTTCCCTGTATATCTCTGTAGGTTATTATCGGAATTGCTATGCACATCCACTGCTAACGGATTCGAATTTGTTATCAATGGCTGTTATTGGGTCTTTTCTTGTTCGTGGAGCTTGTTATTCTATATATGTCTCTAGATGTTGGGCTAGTTGGGCTCTAACTTGTGGGCTACTTGCCTTATAGATCACACTGTAAATTCTTTATATATTAATACATTTGCTTTACCATTCAAAAAAAAAAAAAAAAAAAAGTAAGTTAGAGATGATATTTCCTCCATCATTTTTTGACATTATGGTGTACTTGGCTCTGTATTTACCGTGTGAAGCCATCATCGCAGGCCCTGCACAATATCGATGGATGTACCCGCTTGAAAGGTGCTGTATATTTTTAGTAAACCAACATTTTTTTTTAAACAAGTTTTATCAGTTTGTTATTAAATATTATTGGTTTGATTAACGGTTATGTAGATTTTTGTATACTCTCAAATTGTATGTCCGTAACAAAGCACGTCCGGAAGGGTCCATTGCGGAAGCTTACGTGGACGATGAATGCCTCACATTTTGTTCAAAATTTCTTGGAGGGATTGAGACAAGGTTTAGTAGAGAAGAAAGAAATAGTGAGGGGAACTATAACAATAATTGGTCCACTTTTTATGATCTAAATCAAGTGGTTCGACCGATAGGAGCACAAAGTTTAGACATATTGCCTCGTACGGATATAGAGATGGCCCAATTGTACGTGTTACAGAATTGTGAAGATGTTTTGTCATATGAAGAGAAAGTAGCTCATTGCATGTTATATCTTGTCAATTTTTATGAATATATAGTCTATTTCTTAATACATGTACGCAATTGTATCTTTAACATAATGTAATTGTTTAGAAAACACAGCGTAGAACTTGAGAAAGAAAATCCGCGCAATGTTCCTCAAAGACATGCTAAAGAATATTCGAGGTGGTTTGAAACAAAAGTAAGTCCATTATGCACCTATTGTACTTAATTAAATAAAATTCTTTAATTTAATTAAAATGAACTATCATTCATTTATTTAACACTACACTTTTTTTAATAGATAAAGGAAATGCGTCATCATCAAAAGTAAACGACTTGTGATAATCTGTATTCATTAGTGTGTGGACCTCAATGTCTAGTAAGTCGATATTCTACGTGTATTGTAAATGGGATTAGTGATGAGCGCTGAAAAGTGCGTATTTAAACCCCTTAAGCTTAGGCATTCTAGTACCCTTATCTATCTTACTTTACCGTTTTAGATTGATTTCGTGTTATTTCCATTTTCAGGCACTTATCCCGAAAATAAGCTAACTCAGCCAAATAAGAACAGAAATGAAGCAATTCTGGGATGAATAAAAAAAAGGAGCCAAGTGGAAGCAAAAGGAAGAAAAAGGTGGAATTCAACATCTTTGATCAATCTCAGATCAAGGTTCGATCGATCCAACATGACCGATCTCAGCACTACAAGATGGATCAGAGCCATGATGACATTTTCAGAGATCTCAAAAGTTCGATCGATCCAACATCATTCTTTGATCGATCGAACTACCTTGTCCTTATCCAAATGATTGATCTTATCTAGTTATACCACCCTACCAACCACTTTTGTCATTTTCCCAAAAATATCTTCGAAATATCTTAGATTTGTTTTTATCCAAAAAGTGCCGCCATTGAGGATTGATCCAGCCTAAGTTCGATAGATCTCAGCCATGTTCGATCGATCCAAGTCCAAGGTTTGATCGATCGAACTTCCTCCAGTGCAAAAAAGTTAAATTTCCAGCTCACAAAAATTTATCCTTTATCCAATCATTGGGGAATATTTGTTGTACGACCTCAGCTTATTTTGGTTGTCATTTGACCTACCTATATAAGGATAAGGATTACTTTTTTACATCATGTCATATTATACCTTGTAAAACTCTTGGAGAGGAAGCTTAGAGGAAGAGGAGGCTAGAGACACCATTAGAGACTCTTCATCAACCAAATAGGAAAACTCTATCATGGAGTTAGCCCTTGAGGGTTGGAGAAGCACTACCATGAGTGGCTAGACATCCTCTTGGGGTTAGAGTTGGCCCCAAGCATGTTTTTTACATCTTGATTTTGTGTATTATTGAGGGATTAGTGTTGTAATACATGTTTTGGCACATATATATATATAGATCTTGTTTAATCAATGATTTATGTGGTTCAATGCTTCCAATTGATCATTTCATTCTATCCATATGTCTATGTATGCTAGAATAGATGTTCATGTGTTTGTCTCTATTTCTTGTGTTATTGATGCATGTCTATGTGTATTAATGCCATAGATTTAGAGATTGTCAAAACATTGTGCTTAATGGAATGCTCTTGTAATTTTCTTGATGGTTCATGCTCATTTATTAATGGATTGTGCCTTTCCCTTAGCTTAATTAGTTTAATTTCATGTCATTAGTTTAATTGTAGTGTAGTGGTAGCATAGTTATTAGATGGGAGGACAATCCATGCTTGTTGTTTGATGTTCCATACTTTTAAATGCAAGTAGCATATGTCTCTAACCTTGTGGTGTATTTGGCTTGTGAGCTTAATGAAAGGATTAATGACTTGCTAGACATATTGTACCTTTCACATGTTGCTTAGACAATATATACTTAATTGATCATCCTTGCTAGTTGAATCAACCAAACACACACACACACACACATCAATATTGCAACACATATTTCCCTTATTAGTCACTTGTTAAGGGTGTAGAAAAGTATTGTTTGGTGGTGACCTCTAAACCCCAAGATCTCTCTCTCTTACTTACTCTTTATTGCATTCAATTATTTAGTTTAATTTGCTCTCTAGTTCAATCAACCAACCAACTATTTGTTTGATCACTTGACCTACTGACCCTAATAGTGATTCCATAACCAAATTCGACTCCAATCCCTTGGGACGATCCCTACTCACCCTAACTATATTTTAAGTGAAGGTAGTAGTGGCTTTTATAAATGTAAAACTTGGCCCTCGCCTTAATGCACATTCTCTAAGCTTGTGATGTAGCAACGACGAATAAAAAAAAAAAATAACACCAATTAGGTTCCATACTAAGGAAAGGGAGCAAAATCAACGAACACAGAATAATGGCGTGTTAGTGAAAGGAGAAAACCAAGATTACTATGGTGTCCTAACAGATATCATTGAGTTAAGATATCCTCTGGGTAGAAAAAATTTTCTTTTCAAGTGTGATTGGTTTGATGTTAGGATTGGTATTGATGTACATAAAGATACCTATTTCACAAGTGTAAATGTAGCCAGTAGAGCGTACAAAAATTAGTCGTTTGTGTTAGCAAATCAAGCATCACAATGCTTTTATGTCAAAGACAACAAATTACAAGGGACGTGGGAGATAGTTCAAGATATAACAAGTAGAAGTTCGTTTGATGTACCTGAAAAAGAGGGTGAAACAGGAGTACATGATGAAATGCTTAACACTGCAGTATACCAAGAGAGCGAACCAAGCATCGTGGATGGAGTTGTTGAAGCGGACTTGGAAATGAATCCATTCCTTTTGAACAGGGACGATTTGGAGGGTGAAACTCTTGATGTTAAAATGATTTGAAAATGTAGGGGTGAAACAGCCATTAATGATGACTTTTGGGATATTGAGAATGATTATGGAAATGACATTCAACATAGTTCAGATGAGGAACTAGAATTAATGTCTGAAGATGATACTAATTTGGATGACATGTGAAGCTTTGTATTCTTGAGCATGTACCTCATTTTATGGTTTTATGATTAATACTTTAAGTGACCGGCTGAATTATATTACTGAGCTTTATCTTTTGAGTTACTTTTTGTTTAAATTTCTCTTTAAGTATTGGTTCTGTGCTTCATTTATTTGCAGCTTTGATTTGGTTGACCAAATTAATTGTTATATTTGAGCATTTACTTTTTTTTTTTTGGGTTTATGATTATATTTAATGTGATCTATTCAGTTATATTGGCAGTCTTTATTTATTGACTTCCTTCAGGTTTATTAGCCTCTAATTATTGAATTTTTTATTCAATGGAATTGTGTAAATATGAAATGATGACTCAGAATATATTTTGCTTATGCTTGTTTATTTTGATTTAATTTCACTTGATTCTTCATATCAGCTTGTAAACTAAATTATGGACACCTTTGAGGAACTAATGCGCAGAGTTTTAAGGTCCCGTAGGGCTGAAACTGAGCGACCATCTATAAGTTCACCTGTTACACAACTGAGTGCATCAGGTGATGATAGGAATTCAACAAATGAAAGAATGGAAGCTGATGGTAGTAATGAGCAGATGGGACTACAACCAAGTGGAGGTAATTATGCTTCATCATTGATTAACCATAAGCTCTTTTGTAAAATGCCTACGTTTTAATTAAGATGATAAATTTGTTTTTCAGGTCCGATACGAAAAGGGTGTGGAAGAGCAAAAAATGAAGCCTTGCACAAAATTAAGGAAAACAATTGTCCGGTTCCAGTAGAGTTTGGAGAGGGTTATATTAAACCTGTTGGTTTAAATAACAAATTATGGACGGCTCAGGTTGGCATTAATACACGAGATACCAAAGCCCTTCTAAGTATAAAATGTGGAGGGATGTTCCAGATTTTGAGAAAGAGATCTGCTATGACCATTTGAAGGTAATGATAACCAGTATTTAATGTTTGTTTTGTTAAAAATAAATCAGAGGTTACTGGTCCAATTGGTTACAAATTATAGCTTACCTTAATTTTACATTATAAAGGAGGTCTTTGGAGTGGATGCATATGCGAATGACACTGATTTTAAGCGAGTAAATATGGGAATTTCCAGCGCGGTGAGGAAATATAGATATAAATTGAAGTGTCATTTTGAAGAACATCTTCCAATTGAGAATGCACGCCGCCATCCTTACAATGTTATTGGTAATGCTGTTTGGCAAAAATACTGTGATACGTGGATGTCACCAAAATTCCAGGTTCAATTTCTTAACTACTTGTTTTTTTACTATTTAATATAATAACTTCTTTCACTAGCTATTTAGGTTTCCTAACTTGTAATATTGTTTGAATTACTACTTAGGAAATAAGTGGAAAAAACAAAGAAAATCGTTCCAAGAATGAGGTTCCACATTATTCTGGATCAATGTCCTTCGGCAGACGTTATGATGCTTATGTGCATAATATATGACACAATAATTATAAATTTTTTATTTTATATTCTACGTTCTAAACCATATATTTGTCTAATAGTCACAATTACTTTGTACTGCAGGTCAAACTCAAAGAAAGGCAGAGCCAAGAAGATGAGGACGGTGAAAGGGTTGAGGATCCTGCTATTCGTTTGTCCAAGGACACACATTTTAAGGAACAAGGTGGATGGGCACACGAGAAAGCTAAGACAAATTTTGTAAGTTAACTATAAGCTAGCATGTTGGATTATGAAATTTGGATCTCATAATATTTTTGCGGTTTATAGGGGGTCGCATGCCTTTAAGTGACCATTTTTGTGGTTTATAGGGGGTCACATGCCTTTAAGTGACCATTCTTGATTTTTTGTGCACAAATGGAGGTGGGGAATTGTTGCGGATGAAGTGTCGTTTTCATTCATTACATTTTATGTTTAAAAAATAAATAAATATAATGGGAATAATTTGTTGAAATTTTGGGGCCATGTGACAAAGAGGGTACTTGGTACATTCTGCTCATATTTTCTATTTTATTGAAAGGTGCTAAAAAATTCTCTCCTTGTCATCCTTGAGATATAAAAATAAAAAAAGCCAAATATACAAATAATAAGATAGTGATCAAATAAATCATCAACCTCCAATATACTTAATTAATGTTAGAAGTAATCAACAATCACTTGTGAGGCCGCAAAATTTTCCTTGGGGGCATGCAAGTTATAAAATGCCATTATATAGTTCCAACAAATTAAAAAAAGGAATTGTAGAATGATTCTTCCCACCAATTAAGTAGCCTGCAGAAAGACAGCAGAGCATTTGGATTAGGTCTAGTGTGATTTCAATATATTGTAGTTTAAACAACAACCTGCCAACCAGACAGTTGATAAGTTCAGTGTTATACAAACAAATAATTATTCCTTCATATATCATATAATGATGCAAGTACCTAGTCAAAACATTCATAAAATATCAGATAGAGTATTAATCAAATGAGAGTTAAAATTCCGCAACTAAGGGTCATTGATATACTATGTATTCCAATTAATGGATATATAGATATCAAAGGGTAGTTTCTTGGGTATAAATAAAATGTGTTAGAAGTTGAAGCCAGTTAAAGGCCAATTTCTATCTACTTAATTGTTAATTAGTGTTTGAAGCAAGTTTGACCTGAAAATGATCTTCATATAGATATATATATATATATATATATATATATATATATATATGTATGTATCCATGCATCATCTATTCATCAACTTTAATTAGAAAATTTAATTACACCATATATACAAGTTTATATATATATGAAGACGACACGTACTGTAAAAAACACAGGCCTGTCAATGAAGCTGTAATCAGTCATTTTCGCGACATTGCGTATAACGTGAATCAAACCTCTCTGCCATTGGTGAGCGGATGGAGAATAAAGTCTTACTTCCATCCAGCAACTTGTTAGGATATAGTAGGTTTTACTTATCCCTAGCTTTACCATTTTAATAATTAATAATAATAATAAGATACCCAAATCTTTTTCTGACCCCACTGAAGAAAATTTGCCTTAAGTACTGCTGTTTTAGGCTTTGATAGTGTTCATAATGGTTCAGTGGCTTGTTTATGTTGATAGTCCATCAATCCTTTTTTTATTTTTTATTTTTATTATTATTATTTTTTTGCGTTAGAGCTCTGTTGCTGAGATTTCTCAGTTTGGCTCTTCCAAACTCACTATCTAGCCTCTAGGGCTGCAAAATTTTGAACTTGGCTTTATTAGCAGCCTCTATCATTTCATGCCCCTGAATGAAGATATGAAACCACACATCCTCTAAAGACAAGGTTAGACACTTGAACTTGACATGGCAATAACTTATATAAAAAATTACATATAATTAAACTTACTGGGGTTGTCAATTTAATAGAAAGAGTTTGAAATCATCCTAATAGGTTAGAGGCGAGTAAAGAAAGTTTAAATCCCAGATTAATAATTAATATATAAATAAATATTTTTCATTAGCTATCATTTTTTCGGCTTCCCTAAGGTTAGAACTTTTTCATAGAGAGATGGAAGAAGGTTGTAGATGCAGAATTGTGGATCTGATAGTTGTTCTTCTTTCTTAGATCTGATAGTTGTTAGAACTGGTGTTTTCTCTCGGATATATTTTTTGGTTATGTTTATAAAATTGCAATATGCTGTTTGGTAGATGAATTGGCTTTTGACTCTGTACATTATGATGAAAAATACTATTGTGCTCTGTTTGGCTGCAAAGAAAACGCAAGGAAAATCATTTATTCACTATTTTTCAGAAACAAAACAGAATGTTATGCTTTTTTTTATTATTGTGTAAAAGTTGTTACAAGAGAAAGAACGTTTCCCAGGGGATTAGATCCCTAGCTATTAAGCATTTTTCTTTTTCTCTATTGAGATTAGTATTCTAGCTTGCACATGATTTATTCCTATGCCATATTCTTTTAATTTGATAGTGAACTTAAATATTTTATAGGATGCAATGAAAGAAAAGGCTGCACAAAATTCTCAAAATTCTGATGGGACGAGTCCAACCATAAATGATGTTGAGATAGCACAAAACCAACTGGGCATAAGGAAGGGATATTGCCGTCGATTCGGGCATGGTTTCGTGGCTCCATAGCGTCAACGTGCCTCCTCATCATGTGATGAGGCTTCTAGGAAAAGGGCCGAAATTGCTGAAGAAAGAAATGTACAAATGGCGGAAAAGATGGAAAAACTTGAGAAGATGCTTTAGCAGTACCAACAACAGCCGCCACCATGGTTCCTCCAATATCAGCAGCAGCAGCAGCAGTCGCCACCATGGTTCCACCAACAACAGTCTTCATCAGATTCCCAACAGCAGTAAACTGGCATCAACAGCCACCGCCACCTCCAGCAGACTCTCATTTTCAGCAGCCGCCACTAACAACAAGATGGCAATATCAGCAGCCGCCACCAACATGGTCGCACCAGCAAGCATCACCACAGCCACCAACAGAATGAATAATGAATCTTGAAGAGGATGGAACAATTTTTTGTGCTACCACATGGTTTTAGCTTTTGTTTAGAAAATTGAAGATTTTATAGATCTTGAATATATATATTGTGGATTTATTTTGTTTTATGCCTAGTAATATCTTTTTGAATGTTATTGTGAATCAATTTTGTTTATGTTTTGCATGTATCTGGAATGGTTAAACCCACAAATCAAGTATACAAATATATATATATATATATATATATATATATATATATATATATATATATTAATGTATTAGGGACAGTCTACCCGTCCCTAATACAATAATTATAATTTACAAATAATGTATTAGGGACGGTCAGACTATCCCTAATACAATAATTATAATTAAAAAATAATGTATTAGGGACGGTCAAACCGTCCCTAATACAATAATTATAATTTAAAAATAATACTTAGGTATTGGGGACAGTCCTTGACAGTCCCTAATACTGTAGAAGGCCGTCACTAATATTGTAGGGGGACAGTCCTTGAGACTGTCCCTAATTTGTACCTTATTAGTGATAGTCTAGACCGTCCCTAAAATTTTTTAGGGACGGTGTTATTTGGGACAGTCTGGACTATCTCTAAAGGTCAAAAGTATTTGTCACGGTCAACTTTGACCATCCCTAAAGCTCTTTTGGTACGCTACTTTTGGTCACAGACCAATTTGACTTTTAGGCACGGATTCCGGGCTTTTAGGGACAGTTTCGACTATCCCTAAAACCCTAATTTCTTATAGTGATACGACAACGCCATGCCTACAAATCTCAAAAGAAAAATGAGCACAAAAGCCAGAATGCTCAACATGCAACTATCTCCTCAAACTATCTACTGCACAATCAGTCATTAACACTTAATCGGTTACTCCAACCATTCTTCCCAAGACAATCTATATACTCAACCAAATAAACCTTATGCCCTAGCGTCAACACCATCATTTTCCTTCTTTATCGTTCTTCAGAACACCTTAGGCCCCGACAAAAGTCAAATGGGATTACTAGCTAAACATTAGGGATCACCCTCGTCTCAATCATTTCAAATCGACAGTCCATCTCTTCGGATCCTCAAACAACAAATACCACCTCCCGATACTCCAGGCACAATAAGAAATATAACTCCAATCCACAGCTTTCAATTTTCAAAACACAATCCATTTGGTAGCACAGTACCCATCATTTATCCCTCTAGGAAAGCCACTACTCGTCTTCCGAAAGGTATTCGAACCTAACGCTCTGATATCAAATTCGTAATGACCTGAACCCAAGGGTCCAAATCGCTAACCGGGTCCTTACCCGAACCTGAGGTCATCTAAGGCATTACTGTCCTTTCCTATGTTAATGCAAAAAATATATACGTCATCCCAAGACTCATAGTACATCATATCATTAACATCACAGAAAACTCACAAATGCAGGTAGAATGGCAGCGGCGTCTAAGTCCATGGATACAAGACATACATCCATACTTCTCCAGTTTCCTGAAAATGTTTAAGATAAAGGGTGAGCTTAAGAGCTCAGTAGGTAATGCCTAAAACACCGGTTTGGGACTCCCTTAAGCCAACAACCAAAGAACAGGAATAGAAAAAGAATTTGGGATCATGCAATTGGAGTCCGTGCAACATTTATAACATAATAATCAATACACACAGTCACATATCACAATTCTTCAAAATAATGCACATGATAGAAAGTGTGATGCATCCCATCCCAAACTTGGTTTATATCGACCCAGCATTCACTTTTCGAAAACCCGCTAACTAACTTTACCAAGGCGAGATTGATAGCTATCCTCGGTTTCATTCTGGCAAAGCCTGGCAACCGTTAAAGGGCCTAGTATCAACTTTTTCACGCCCTACACCGGGCCGCGCTCCCTCTAGGTCAAGCTAACCCCGAACTCGCAAAATTCGATTCATTTCTAAATCATTTCCTTACAATCCTTTCCAAACACATTTCTTTAAAAAAAATCATTTCAACCTCACTGTTTCCAAACCATGACCATTCCATGAATGGAATCATGCATGAATGAAATTAACATACACATGCTTGCATTTCATCAATTGAACCATACATACTCATCATCGTCATCGTATATATACATATAACCTCAAGAAAACATTTCAACGTAAGGCATGCTCTTTAAACACCTTTGCAACCAAGTACACACACATATATACACAATCAACATCATCTAGAGCATGCTTTGCCACATAAACACATAATTAATATTTAAAATTCCAAATTTATCATTTAATTATGCTTAATAAGAAATCAAGTAAATGAACTCAACTAAAGTCAAAACTTAATGGTTTAGACATCCCTACCTCAAAAGTAGCCAAAATGCATCCCTATCTAGAAAAGTCAATGCCGGTCAACGGCAGCGGAACGGAAAAATATTCAGTGGGAACGTAGCCATCAACGAGGAGATTCTATTGTTCTAAAGGCTTGGCTACAGAATCTAACTCCAAGTGGCCCAAAACCCCCTCTGAAACCTTAGATCCAAAAATTTCAAAAATTCGTAAAATAATCATCGATCCTCTCAAAAATAAACCCTTTGACGATGTGATAGAGAACGATGAGAGGAACGTTTTTGTCAAGGAACCAAGACCGGAAACTCGACCGATTAGCCAAAAAATGGGAGGAAAGGTCTAAGCTTTAAAAGGAAAAAGAAAGAAAGAAAATAAATAAGAGAGAGGGAGAGCTAAATCATGTTCTGGAAGAGGAAAAAATGACAGCAAATGATATGTGGTGATGCCATATATACTTAGTGCTTTGTGGGTCCCACTAATTTAACAAATATCCCATTGCACTTATAAACAAATAAGTTAACACAATACACCCACTTATAAACATGTGGCCAAGTAAATGAGCACAAAATAATGATGTATGAGATGCCATAAACACGAAACACAATCCCCTTGCTCAACGACTCCGGTAGCGGGCCCTACTTGGGATTTTCGGCCTAAAAAACTGAAAAATGCCGAAATGGCAAACGATGCATTTCCAAGAGTCCCAAACTCAAGAAAATGCTCCAATCAACTCTAAGAACTTACCCGGCACACCCCGCAATGTTCGGCACGTAAAACGAGACAAGAATTAAAATAATCCAGAAAATTAAAAAATCCCAGAATTTGAAAAAACGGGGAAAATCAGGATCATTACTGATATGCTCCATTCTTGTGTTGTTGACTTTAAGGGTCACTGGGAGGAGTACTTGCCACTGGTAGAGTTTGCATATAACAATAGCTTTCAGAAAACTATTGGCATGGCGTCGTTTGAGGTATTATATGGCCGACCATGTAGATCTCCTATTTGTTGGATGGAGGTTGGCGAGAGTAGAATTTTGGGTCATGAGTTCATTAAGGATACCTCTGAGAAGATTGCTCTTATTAGGGATCATATGCGCACTGCCTAGAGTAGGCAGAAGAGTTATGTAGATCGTCGTACTCGTGCTTTGCAGTTTCAGGTTGGAGATCAAGTTTTACTCGAAGTGTCTCCTATTAAGGGAGTAATGCGCTTTGGGAAGAAAAGGAAGTTGTCACCACGATTTGTTGGTCCATTTATGATCATGGATCGAGTTGGAGCTGTAGCTTATTGATTACCACTTCCGGACCATTTACATCGTGTCCACAATGTCTTCCATGTTTCCATGATGCGAAGATTTTTATGAGATGAGGATCGATATTAGCATCTTGATGTTGGTGAGATTGAGTTACAGCCGGATGCAAAACCTCCCTGTCATATTATAGACGACCAGATTCTTCGCAATAAAGTTATACCTTTAGTACGTGTCCAGTGGAGTCACCATAATGAGGCTGAGTCTACGTGGGAACGGGAGGATGTCATTCGCTCACAATTTCCAGAAATAATGGAAGAAGGTAATGGCGAATTCCGAGGATGGAATTCCTTTTGTTAGGGGGGAAGAATGTAATACCCTTAATTTTAAAAGGATAGTCTCGGTATTTATTTAATTATTTTAAGTGCATTTTTATTTAATTACTTGATTTTTGGCTATTTGTTTATATGCTTAATTGATTTATTTGTTTAATTTAACTTGTGTGCTTAAACAGCGTGGTTGTTTATTTGCCTATATGATTTATTTGATTTAATAGTGTGCTTATTTAAATGATGTGGATTTTAATTATATTTAATTATTAGATTATATTATTTAAATTTTTTAAATGGTTATTTTATTTTAAAAGGAGTTGGACTTGGATAGTAGTGATGGACCATCCAATAGGACGCATGGACTACTTGGATAAGGGATTAATGGGTAAGGGTAATTACCCATGGATGGGATATATATATATATATATATATATATATATATATATATATATATATATACATATACATATACATATGCGTATATATTGTTAAAATGATAGTTTATTAGTATTATTATTATTATTATTATTAAATAATTAATAGTAATGATAATATTCTAAATAGTCATTATCTATATACATATATATATATATATAATTGGTATTACATATATATGTAATCACGTTAGTTCTATAGTAAATATATATGTATTATTTATTTTATTTTCCTTTTATTTTTATCTTCCTTATAAGCAGACTTAGGGTGCAATTAGGACTAGGGTTGGATTATGCATAGCCTATATATATACATAGGATGGTCTACAATAGGGCTTGTAATCCCTTATAGCAGCACAGAGAGAGAGATGTTATAGAGGAAAGTAACCGAAAGAGAAGAAGAGAGAGAGAAGGTGCAGCTAAAGGAAGAAGGGCCGAACCTAAGGAAGGTTGCTTGTGGGTCTAGATCTGAGCGGCAGAGATGTTCGACGGTAGCCAAGGTCGCCGAAAAACTAGAGAAGAGGGAGAATTGAGGTTTTCATTCCGAAACCTTAAAAAACAAGTTCTTCTTCTACTCTTTCCCTTAGATTCGTGTTCTTTGCATGTCTAGTTAGTTCCAGGATTAATCGGATATTAAATTGAACAATTTGATATGTTTGAATTGAATTAAAACTAAATTCATATGTTTATATGTGTTCTTGTTTGACATTGTGATTTCTTGCATATAACATTCTTTTAATTTGTGTTAAGGATGCATATGAACTTCATTTAATTAATTGGGACTGCATGGGACTTAGTTCAGACCT